ATAGGTATAGACCCCTATCTAATGCTCAATAAAATTCCACAAATATTTACAAAAAAAAAAAACACCTGTCATGTGTGAAATACATGTTGTTGCTGGCCTTCTTCTGGAAATGCAGGTTTCCTGTGTGTGTTTTATTACTTTTGAGTCACAGACCCTGAATAAAAAAGCAGCAAACTTTCAGAATTCCTTATCTCTTTATTTGCTCCGGGTCAGTGACCGGTGTGGTAAAGTGCCAGCATAACAGCCAGGGGGGCTTACATTCTCAAGATTATCTCGTATCTAGTGTATTTGTATCTACTGAAATATATTGCCCATTATGTTAGGTGTAAAAGATTGAGAATTAAATAATTGCAAAATATTTCTGTTTCCTGAGTGTGTAAAAGTCCCTTTAATTAGCTGACATTGATTGTAGGTAGATGGGACTGGATGGATAAGGGCATACAGGATGGAGGGGTGTTCCGTTCTCAAAACACTGACTATGTGTGGCTCTAAACGGACAGCTAAACCCTTGTCAGAATCTCCAGCAAACAGAAGCCCACTGCTTGTGTTGTCTACCAAAGAATCCAACTTTATTTTATAGGTGAAACTGAAACACAATACAATAACAGCATATCAGTATACATAGAATAACTAGTGTAACATAAATGACAGATGACACAGAAGAAAGGCACTTACAGGTGATGATGTCTCAAGCCCCTTGGGAGAGAAGCAAGCACACTGCATCCCCAGTGAATAGAAGTCTAAAATGGCTGACGAGCTTCCTAAACCAAGAGTCACTTCCTGTCTGAGAGCTTACATATCCAGAGGAGAACTGCCATACATGTTTGCCACTAGATGGCAGTGGTACACTACATGTCCATATAAGTAACTTTAATTCAATTAGCCTGTGAAGGCAAACACACTCCCTGCCTGATATAATATATTATATCACTGCCCATGCATATCTACTGTACAGGGAAAACACATAAGAAAATACATTCTGGCCTAGATTGGTAACAAACTAAAACATGAGTCCACAACATATCAGGGTCTTTTGGCTATGGTACTTCAAGCTTATGGCCCACATGAAGAAATAGTATAGTCCATAAACCCATCTTCGGATTGGAGTAGCCGCCCAAGGCCAAACTATCTCCAACCCCAATTGTAATCCACAGGATGGAATTTAACTCAATGGCGAATGTCTCGCCTGAACGATATCAGTGAGGAGCTCTCTGCTATGTATTGTGCCAACTACACAACAGAAATGCTATTCAAAGGAGAACAATGACATCTGAAACTGGTCTAGTATACACTTTAGCAGTCCCTTGTTTTGTCACTTTGACTTCAACCTTTCTGACATTACCATCTTTACTTGGCAATGTATTTGTGACAATTCCCACAGGCCAGTTGTTTCTGCTTTCTTGACAATCTTTCAATAAAACAACATTTCCATCTTTGACGTTGGGACTGGTCTCAGTCCATTTCTTGCGACTTTGTAAGGTACACAGATATTCTCTCCTCCATCTCTTCCAAAACGTATCAGCCAGGCATTGGACTTGTTTCCATTGCTTTACATGAAGTTCTGTTGTACTAAAGTCCCCATAAGGGGCCGATAAAGAGTCTACCTTTTGGGTCAAGAGCATGGCAGGCGTAAGAACTGTAGGATTATCAGGATCTGTAGATAGTGGTACCAAGGGTCTTGCATTAATGATAGCCATAACTTCTGCCATGAAAGTACTCAAAGTCTCATGAGTCAAACGAGTAGGTTTAGCTTGGAGTAACATTGCATCTAAAATGCGCCTAGCTACACCTATTAATCTCTCCCAAGCACCTCCCATGTGAGATGAGTGTGGAGTGTTAAAGATCCATGTGCATCCTTTGTCTTGAAGATAGTCTAGAAGTTCTGTATCATTTGAGCATATATGCAGCTCTTTGCATGCTCCTACAAAGTTAGTACCTCTATCAGAGCGAATCAACTTAGCTGGACCACGAACAGAAAAGAATCTTCTTAGAGCGTTAATGAAACTGGATGCTGACATGGACTCAACCAATTCTATATGCACTGCTCTTGTAGAAAGACATGTGAAAAGAACAGCCCAGCGTTTGCTGTCAGCACTGCCTCCTCTAGTTCGTCGTGTTACAACTGCCCAGGGGCCAAACACATCAACACCCACACTAGTGAAGGGAGGTTCAGGATTGACTCTATCTTTTGGCAACTCTGCCATCTTTTGGCTTTCCAATCTCCCTCTGAGCTTACGGCACACAACACATTTGTGAATAAGTGCAGACACTAAACGTTTTCCACCAAGAATCCAGAAACCTGCAGCTCTGATTGCACCTTCTGTTATGTGGCGCCCTTGGTGAACTATCTGGTTGCGATAATATCTTACGATCAATGTAGCAATGTGGTGATCATGAGGAATGATGACAGGATGCTTCTCCTCATCTGGCAGCGTGGCAAAGGATAAACGGCCACCTACTCTCAATAGTCCATCTTGATCTACAAAGGGACTCAGTTTTGTAAGACGGCTTTGTTTTGGAAGTGTCCTTTGTTGTTCAATACAGTCATATTCTTGTCTGAAACATGCGTGTTGTACAGAAGAAATTATAACTGTTTTGGCCTGTGAAAGTTCTTCTAAACTGACTCTTTCATGGAAAACTCCCCAACTTCCGGGTTGATCATCATTAGTTTTCTTTTGGAAGCTTTTGGCAACATGAATTAATTTTGCTATAACCCTGCTTAGTCTCTTCCAGTTGGAAAATCTTTCGAAACAATGCGGCCGTAGTCTGGTGTCAAAGGCTTTAGTACTGAAGTTTACTACTTCTAAGCTAATTTCAGGATCAGCTTCAGGATCCACTAAAGGATAAACATTGTTGTCATCAGGATTATCTACAGCTGTCTGATACAGAAAAGGTGGACCGGAGAACCATATAGAGTTCTGAAGGCAAGCTATCTGTGTAGGCCTGGTAGCATAATCTGCAGGATTTTGTTCTGAGGGTACGTAGAACCACTTGTCTGGACAGGTTGTTTGTCTGATCCTATTCACCCGATTGGAGACATACAAGAAGAATCTCTTTGTAGTGTTGCAGATATAGCCTAAAACTGTTTTACTGTCTGTAAAGAATTTCACAGCATCTAGGCTCAGGTCTATCTCGTCTCTCACTAGCTCATACAGTTCAACCGCTAGTACAGCTGCACATAACTCTAGGCGTGGAATTGTATGTGCCGGCCTAGTGCTCAGTTTGGATTTTCCCATTACGAATCCAACATGACAGACATTTCCTGCATCACTTACCTTCAAGTAAGCGACTGCACCTATTGCTATAACGGAGGCATCTGAAAAGATGTATAGTTCTCTCTTGCAGGCCTGTGACAATGAAACAGGAACATAACATCTGGATATTTGAAGACATTGTAAAGCTTGTAAAGACTCTGTCCATTGGACCCACTCATGGAGTCTCTCTTGTGGAAGTAAGGCATCCCACTCACTTTCTCCACTTGACAGTTCACGAACTAAGGCCTTACCTTTTATGGTGACTGGTGCTACAAACCCGAGAGGATCATAAAGACTGTTCACAGTGGATAGGATTAGAGATGAGCGAATCGAAGTAGGCGAAGTGGAATTCGTTTCGAATATTAGGAAAATTTCGATTCGCGTCGAATCCGAAAATAAGCAGACTTCGGATGCGCGAATCAAAATTTTTCCTAAAATGGCGGCGACATGTGCGGCGACGGAGCGGGGATGTCTGGGAAGGCGCGCAGACAAGGCCCGCTGACCCATAATGCATTCATTCATGACATGTGATCGCATTAGCCAATCAGCAGCCAGCCAGCCAGCACAGTGTAATGGTCGAGCTATAAATGGCGGCCATTTTAGAATTCTCCATTTGCCTCCAGTCATTCAACAGAGGCAGACCTGGCTGTATGCAGGGAGAGAGTTAGGGACAGAGAAACGTTACTTAGGGACACAGAAACGTTAGTTAGGGCCACAGAATCGTTACTTAGGGCCATAGAAACGTTACATAGGGCCACAGAAACGTTACTTAGGGCCACAGAATCGTTAGTTAGGGCCACAGAAACGTTACTTAGGGACACAGAATTGTTACTCAGGGACAGACAGAATTGTTACTGAGGGATACAGAATTGTTACTGAGGGCCACAGAATCGTTACTTAGGGCCACAGAAACGTTACTTAGGGCCACAGAATTGTTACTTAGGGACAGACACAGAATTGTTACTGAGGGACACAGATTTGTTACTGAGGGCCACAGAATCGTTACTTAGGGCCACAGAATTGTTACTTAGGGACAGACACAGAATTGTTAGTGAGGGACACAGATTTGTTACTGAGGGACCACAGAATCGTTACTTAGGGCCACAGAAACGTTACTTAGGGCCACAGAATTGTTACTTAGGGACAGACACAGAAATTGTTATTGACTGAGGACACAGAATTGTTACTAAGGGCCACAGAAACGTTACTTAGGGCCACAGAAACGTTACTTAGGGCCACAGAATCGTTACTTAGGGCCACAGAAATGTTACTTAGGGCCACAGAAACGTTTACTTAGGGACACAGAAACGTTACTTAGGGACACAGAATTGTTACTCAGGGACAGACAGAATTGTTACTGAGGGCCACAGAATTGTTACTGAGGGCCACAGAAATGTTACTTAGGGCCACAGAATTGTTACTTAGGGACAGACACAGAATTGTTACTGAGGGACACAGATTTGTTACTGAGGGCCACAGAATCGTTACTTAGGGCCACAGAATTTTACTTAGGGACAGACACAGAATTGTTACTGAGGGACACAGATTTGTTACTGAGGGCCACAGAATCGTTACTTAGGGCCACAGAAACGTTACTTAGGGCCACAGAATTGTTACTTAGGGACAGACACAGAATTGTTATTGAGGGACACAGAATTGTTACTAAGGGCCACAGAAAGAAACAGAATTGTTACTTAGGGCCACAGAATTGTTACTTAGGGACAGAAGTTTGTTACTAGGGCCACAGAATCGTTACTTAGGGCCACAGAAACGTTACTTAGGGACACAGAATTGTTACTCAGGGACAGACACAGAATTGTTACTGAGGGATACAGAATTGTTACTGAGGGCCACAGAATCGTTACTTAGGGCCACAGAAACGTTACTAAGGGCCACAGAATTGTTACTTAGGGACAGACACAGAATTGTTACTGAGGGACACAGAATTGTTACTGAGGGCCACAGAATCGTTACTTAGGGCCACAGAAACGTTACTTAGGGCCACAGAATTGTTACTTAGGGACAGACACAGAATTGTTACTGAGGGACACAGAATTGTTACTTAGGGCCACAGAAACGTTACTTAGGGCCACAGAATTGTTACTTAGGGCCACAGACACGAATTTACTTAGGGCCACAGAATTGTTACTTAGGGGACACACAGAATTGTTACTGAGGGACACAGAATTGTTACTGAGGGCCACAGAATTGTTACGTTACTGAGGGCCACAGAATCGTTACTTAGGGCCACAGAAACGTTACTTAGGGCCACAGAATTGTTACTTAGGGACAGACACAGAAATTGTTACTTGAGGGACACAGAATTGTTACTGAGGGACACAGAATTGTTACTTAGGGCCACCACAGAATTGTTACTTAGGGACAGACACAGAATTGTTACTGAGGGACACAGATTTGTTACTGAGGCCACAGAATCGTTACTTAGGGCCACAGAAACGTTACTTAGGGCCACAGAATTGTTACTTAGGGACAGACACAGAATTGTTATTGAGGGACACAGAATTGTTACTAGGAGCCACAGAATGAGGGCCACAGAAATTACTTAGGGCCACAGAAACGTTACTTAGGGCCACAGAATTGTTACTTAGGGACAGACTGCCAGAATTGTTATTGAGTTGGACACAGAATTGTTACTGAGGGCCACAGAACCGTTACACCTACAGCCAATTGGTACTTAGGGACAGACACAGAATTGTTACTGAGGGACACAGAGTTTGGTTACTGAGGGCCACGGGAGCAAACGTTACTTAGGGCCACAGAATCTTACTTAGGGCCACAGAATCGTTTGGTGTTCCCTCACCAAGCGAAGAATCGTTATGCTGTGGGCTCACCCCACGTTACTTACAGTGAGGAAGAGCTAACAGAGGGAGGTCAGGAACGGGGGGAGACATCCGCCTCTTCAGCAGCCAGGCGAAGAAGTAGTGGCGAGGAGAGTGGCTCGGTAGCCGGTCTAGAGACAGGTCTGTCTCCTGACCCACACGCAGCCGAGGGGGCTAGTAGTGAGGCGGAGACCCTAATTGATGATGATGAGGCTGATCGCACTTGGCAGCCTCGTCGTCATCAGGCTATTGCTTCCGCATCATCAGGAGAAGAGGGTGGCAGCTTGGCAGCGAGCAAAACAGTCGGTGGGTTGCCCAGGAGGCAGCAGGGTCGCAGCAGTGTCAGTGGAGGCAAACGGCCACGGAGTACAGCACCAGCTCCACTGCAGCCTACCACCACGGCCAGTAGTGGTGCCGGTGTGCACGGAGGAAGCAGCAGTCAGCCAGTGAGGAGTATCGGGGGCAAAGTTTCCTACTCGGCGGTGTGGCAATTTTTTGTCAAGCCGCCCGAGGAAGTAAACGTAGCCGTATGTCGACTATGTGGCCAGAAAGTCAAGCGTGGCCAGGGGGCCCATGTTGGGACTACAGCGTTGCGGCAGCATATGCAGCGTCGCCATTTGGTGGCCTGGGAAAACCGTGATAAAGATACGGCGGTTCTGCCCGCCCCAGCCCCCCCGCTCCATCACCCGCTCCGTTACTTGCTCCGTCACCCGACGTCAATCGCCCTCTATCAGCCAGTCAAGGCTCCAACACCTCTGCTGAGGGGAGTTGTCGCTCGTTGCCATCTTCCGCTCGTTCAGATGCTCCTTCTCCTGCTACTCCTCTTCACGGATTCCGTCAGCAGTCTTTCTTGGAATCCGTTTCCAAGAGACAACAGTTTGCGAGCACGCACCCGACGGTGCAAAAGCTGAACGTCCTCCTGTCCAAGTTGCTGGTTGCTGCAGTCCCTCCCTTTCCAAGTGGTGGACTCAGCACCTTTCCGAGAAATGATGGCTTGTGCCGCGCCGCGGTGGAGAGTGCCAAGCCGTCATTTCTTCGCCAAAAAGGCAGTGCCAGCCCTGCATTCACATGTAGAAGAGATGGTGGGCCAGTCTTTGAGCATGTCGGTCTCTGCCAAAGTGCACGGCAGCGCCGACGTGTGGAGCTGTAACTACGGTCAGGGACAGTACATGTCATTTACGGCCCACTGGGTGAACGTGGTGCCGTCACAGCCGCACCAGCAACTTGGACAGGTCACGCCGCTTTTGCCTCCACGTTTGCACGTCCTTGGTCCACAAAAGATGTCCGCCTCTACCACCTCTTCTTCCTTCGTGTCCTCAGCCGCCACCCCCGTGCCAAGTCCCATTACCCGACCGGCATATCACATGTGCAGGGCGCAACGGTGTCACGCTGTGCTGCACCTGGTATGCCTTGGCGAACGTAGTCACACAGGGGAGGAACTTCTCAGTGTAATGAACAGAGAAATCGACAGATGGCTGTCTCCGCGCAAACTGAAAATCGGAACCATGTTGACCGACAACGGAAAGAACATGGTGTCTGCTCTGCGTCAAGGAAGGTTGTGCCATGCGCCATGCATGGCTCACGTGTTCAATCTGGTTGTCAAGCGGTTCCTAAAATCCACCATCCCACTGCAAGACATCCTTAAATGTCACGTAAACTTTGCATGCATTTCAGCCATTCCTACACCGCAAAGCACACCCTCCTTGAGCTGCAGCGGCAGAACGGAATTCCACAGCATCGCCTGATCTGCGACGTTGCAACAAGGTGGAATTCAACCCTACACATGTTAGACCGCCTTTACGAACAGCGAAAGGCCATCACCGATTTCCTGATGTTACAAGCGGATAAAGGTACTCCCCTGTGTAACTTCCAGTATGCTGTGGAGATGGAGGCAGGGAGTCCCTCGCATTCCTTGGCACAAATGGCCCATAGCATGCTCGGTTGCTTGCGTAGCGACAGCCGAATAATAACCATCAACAGATGACTTTCTGGCTGTCCAACCTTGTTGGGGACACTGGCTTACCGTTCAAAAATGGTTGGCCTTTTTTTCCACACCTGC